CTACGGGTTTGAGAACTATGTAGACGTGACCGAGACACCTCTCCGGTTAATAACCAATAGCAGAACCTGGATGCCCATATTGGCTCCTACCTATTCTACGAAGATCTTTATCGATCGAACTGTTATGACAACATACGTAATTCCCTTTGTCCATCGGTATGTTACTTGCCCGAGATTCGACCGTGGGTATCTTCATACCTAGTTCAATCTCATTACCGGCAAGTCTCTTTACTCGTTTCGTAATACATCACCTCGTGACTAACTCCTTAGTCATTTTCTTGCAAGCTTATGGTGTGTATTACCGAGAGGGCCCAGAGATACCTCTCTGATACTCAGAGTGAAAAATCCTAATCTTGATCCATGCCAACTCAACAAACACCTTCAGAGATACCTGCAGAGCATCTTTATGATCACCCAGTTATGTTGTGACATTTGATAGCACACAAGGTATTCCTCCGCTATCCGGGAGTTGCATAATCTCATAGTCGAAGGAATATGTATTTGACATGAAGAAAGCAATAGCAATAAAACTGAACGATCATTATGCTAAGCTAATGGATGGGTCTTGTCCATCACATCATTCTCCTAACGATGTGATCCTGTTATCAAATTACAACACATTTCCATGGTTAGGAAACCTTAACCATCTTTGATTAACGAGCTAGTCTAGTAGAGGCTTACGAGGGACATGGTGTTTGTTTATGTATTCACACATGTATTATGGTTTCCGATTAATACAATTCTAGCATGAATAATAAACCTTTATCATGAATAAAGAAATATAAAATAACAACTTTTTTATTGCCTCTAGGTCATATTTCCTTCACATCTATCGGGGACTTGTGTGTTCCTCCTACTAGATTGATACCTTGCTTCTTAATTGAGGGAAATACTTATCTCTACTTTGCTTCATCACCCTTTCCTCTTCAAGGAAAAAATCAACGCAATCTCAGGAAGTAGCATGCGTCACCTCATCTATGAAACACATTGGGTGTGGCGCCCCTTACCCGGGCCACATCGTGCCGGAGATCGGTTATCATTCGGGCATGGTGCTGCTCCCGGGCTCTATCAGTCCTGTCGTGCCAGGATTGGTATCCTTCCCGTCTAGCGGGCTTGTGTCCTCTAGATCCGTAAATGGATCTTGTCTGTGTCGTTCTAGCGTTTAAGTTGTCCCGCAGGTCATGTGGATCCTCCGGCTGTACTCGCTCTTTGCCCGACCGACGTGGAAACATAGGTGGATTGTTGGCTTCTCCGTCCGTCCTGTCCCATCCTCGAGGGGGGCGGTCGGGCTGGTTTGTCTGAGTGCGTATGGGGGCATGGGCTCAGGGGCCTCATCGTCAAATTGCGGAAGCAGACGCAACCATGGGTAGCTTTTGTTTTGATCTTGCCCCTAATTGTCGAAGCCCTCTTCGGTTGCTAAGACCTTCGTCCACCTATCATCGAGGGTATCCTGCTCGGCCTTTAACTGCTGCTTCTTCTTCTTCAGGCTTTGGGCAGTGCCTATGAGTTACCGCTTGAACTGTTCGTGATCCAGAGGGTCCTCGGGGATGATGAAATCCTCGGGTCCGAGGCTATCCTCCTCTTCGGAATGAGGGAGGTAGTTTCTGTCCTCTGAATCATCGGGGTCCTCGGGGTTGTCCTGATCCTCCTGGCCTTCAGGAACGTCATGGTGTTGTTCAGGGGTGTTGTGCCGAGCTCCTCCATATTGTCCGGAGTATCACCGTCTCCGGTGTCGTTTGTGTTTGTGTTCAGGTTGTCTTCCCTACCTTTCCATGTCCCTTGGATCGCCTTCGCTGCCGTCGGCGCTTGGATGACTCCTTACCGGGGTCGTCCCCATCCTTTTTAGGGGTGTCGACCATGTAAACGTTGTAAGTGGACGTGGCAGCCCACTTTCTCGTGCAGGGAGTGGTCAGGGAGGGAGCAGTATAGGTCATGGCTTTGATATCCTCGTCTATGTCGCCAGCCTCCTCGGAGGCGTAGTCTAAAATGTTAGTTAAGTCGTCGACTGTGGCTACTAAGTGGGTGGTGGGTGGGATGTAAAATTCCCCGTGGCTGGCCTCAAGTCCGATATGATCATAGATCAAGGGCGTCCCATCCGTGATGCTCATGATCTGGATCCGATCTAACGTCTCGTTTAACAACGAGAGGTCAGCCGGATTCATACTCTGACGTCTTTAGGAGTTAACCTCTGGTATGCCTGCATAGGGGGTACGTTCGGCCGAGGCTGACCCTTGGTCCTCAGACGCTGAGATCGGATCCGAGCTCGAAGCCAGATCCGAGATAGAGGTCGATCCGAAGATGGGAACGGGGAGGAGGTCCGAAGTTGAGGCTTTGGGATTACTAGGCCCCTCAGGTAAAGCTGAGAACCCAACTAAAATCAGATCGCCCCAAAACTGTCAATCTAGTCAAGGTGACCGGTCGGGTTGGCATGTAAAACGATGCTGCCAAACGCGAAGAGCTGGCCGGGCACAAAGACGTCCCCGGTGCAGATGCCATCGCCAATGACTAAGCGAGCCATCGATCTTTTGACGATCCTGTAGTGGAACTCTCAATGAAAGCATCAATGTCAACCAGCAGATGTCGGGTAGGGGGTCCCGAGTTGTGGATCTTGGATCGATGGGTAACAGGGAACATAGAGACACCATTTACCTAGGTTCGGGCCCTCTCGAGGAGGTAAAACCCTACGTCCTGCTTGGTTGCATTGATGTGTTTGTATGGCAATTACAGAGTTGATCTACCACGAGATTGGTTGAACTAAACCCTAGGTGGGTATGACGATAATTATTTCTCTCCCCTACAGGCTAAACCCTTTGGTTTATATAGACACTAGGGGTACCTAGGGTTACATATGGTCGGTCATCATCAGGGGATAAACATCTCGGTTACGCTAAACCAGGCTTGGAGGATACGCCAAGTCTTCGGAGATTTCCTTCAAGAGCACGGGGTCCCCTGTAGTCCGGCATTCCTTTGATGAATCGAGAACGGCCCACCGGTCCGGCCCATGAGAGATAAGCCGGCAGCCCGGGACCCCTTGGTCCACGACACCCTCAGTGAGTGATCGCACACGAGTCCACATATTCTTCATATCAATACACCACTATAGATCCGCTCCCGTCTCCCCACGAGAGGGCCATCCATAGCACTAACACTCATATTGCGCATTTTAGAGTACCCATTTCGACTTGTCTATGAACTATATAAGCTTTCCAAGTAGTCCAGAGGACGTGGCTATTCGAATAGATCATTTATAACCCTGCAGGGGTGTGTTTCTTCAATCCTTATAAATGTTCATAAATTTTGGTTGGGGTTAAAACCCTTGCCAAAAATATCAAACATTAAAGAAGAACTTCTTGGAATCAGTGCAATTTTTAGGGTTCTTTACCCCTTATTAGAATAATTTTTGAAGCTTTGAATATTTCTCAATTCAATTTTTTGAATTTAACATGATGCATGATGATTCTCACTAATGCAATTATTCTAGGGCTGTAACATGGTGCCGGCTCGCCGCGCCCCCACGCCTCTCCTTGGCCGAGCGCATTCCGCTACCCTGACCTCCCGAGAGAGGAAAAAAGGGAGGCCCCGCCGTTGCCACTGTCATTGCCCGGCGGCGCTTGCCGGTGGCGGCGAGGGGAGGGGGAGATCTGGGACGGCTAGGGTTTCGCCCGGGTCGCGCGCGGGGGAGGACACGAGCGACTTTCTCCTTGTTTTGATATGATTCAATGAATCGCTTTGATACTTCATTTTTTGTGAGTAAATCCATGCATTGTCGAGAGAGAAAAAAAGCAGTTCGCCAAAAGCTGGCAGCACACGTCCACTGTTCCAGCCGGACATATACAGGAGTCATTTATGTACGGTACGCCAGGCCAGCACCGCAGCTCCCTAGAGTAGCTTATGACCTTATGTGCACGTCAAACGCTGTAAGCAACGGAGTAATGTTTGACGTAACAAGTCATGAATTTACTACTACCAGCTCGAAGCTACTCCACTGTACTAATTCGGCGACATGACCCGTGGCCTTACTTCCCGTCGCAAATTCAATGCTCGTCCTTTGGGACGAGCGTATCCAGGCCGCACTCGTAGATAAGCATCGTCTCACCCTTGAGTGCCTCAAAGCTTAACCGTTGACAGATCATAGTGTGCATGGTTCCTGCCAAAACTGTAGTACGTAGCAGCAGCAGCCAAATGTTGGTCTTGTGTTTGCAAGCGCCGGACGGAGGCAGCAGCACAGAGCAGAGCAGCGGCAAGCAGGACATGGAATGCATGGTGGCTACAGGCAGTCTACAGCGGCGCTGCACCCCGGCCAGCCAGCACGACCCAGCAAACCTCACACCTGGTAGTAGATCCACACAGGCCAGGCAGGACATGCGTCCGTCAATGCGCCACACGCGCCAACAAAACCGCATACCCCCAAACCCAAGCTACCCAAAGCCGGGATAATTAGGGATCCGAGGCCACCACCACTCCCTCGGCCTTTGACAAAGGAAGGGGCCCCTCCTCTCCTCTCCCTCCCATCCCTCGCTGCCGCGCAATCCGGTCCATCAATAGTTACCGGATCCTCACATTCCCCGCACTGGCCGCCACGGGGTTCTCCCCTGTGCTGATTCCACTTCCGTCCACGCCCACGCCCACGCCCACGCCCGCCCGCGCCCCCACGGGACAAACGACAAGCCCCGCAAAAGAAAAGTGTAAACGATAAAAAAGAAGATCCTTCTCTTCTCTGCTCTCCGCGGAGACCTTCTCTGCCTGCCTGCGTCGCCTTCCCCCAACCCCCCCTCTGCCGCCTCGCCCGACCTCAGCTCACTCCCCTTCTGCTTGTTGTTCCCACCGCATCGCGTCCCCACGTCGCCATTGTCGCTCGCTTGGCCGCATTTCGCGCGACGGCGTCCTCGCGCCAACCTCACCGAACGCCATAATGCGGGGCGAGTGGCAGCAGCAGTAGGTAGGTACACTCGGCTCGAGCTCCTTTTTGTTTCTCCTCTGGGCTGGAGCGGCCGCGCGCGATGGGGTGCAAGGGCTCCAAGCTGGACAGCCAGGAGGCGGTGGCGCTGTGCCGCGGCCGCGCCGACCTCATCGCCGCCGCCGTGCGCCACCGCTACGCGCTCGCCGACGCGCACGCCGCCCTCGCCGGATCCTACGAGTCGCTCGCCGCGCCGCTGCACCTCCTCCTCCAGCTCCAGGACGAGCCGCCGCGGCTCTCGCTGCCTGAAGACCGCAAGGGCGGCCGTCGTGGCGGCGGTGGCGGTCTGCCGCTCCCGGACCGCCGTCATTCCTCGCATGTCGACTTCGAGCCCACGTCGTCCTCCGGATCCGACTCGGCCTCCTCCCCGGCCGGATCGCCTCCCCGCCGCGTCCACGAGCAGCTGCTCCCGCAGCCGAATTACTACGGGTACGCGCCCGAGCCCGCGTTCGCCTACCCGGCGCCTCCGCAGAGCACGATGCAGTTCTACTACGCGCGCAGCCGCCCGCCCCCGGCGTCGGTCGCGGTCGCGCAGCGTGCGCCGGTGTCGGAGCGCGCGCGCTACGGGGCTTTCGATGCGGCAGTTGGCGGCGGCTACCCGCAGTATTACGCCTACGGCGGCGAGCCGGCCGCCGCCGCGGCTGCGCCGCCGCCACCGCCGCCGCAGAGGACAGCGGCTCCGGCTCCGGCTCCACTTCCGCCGCCCAGGGAGACCTCGTCGTGGGACTTCCTAAACGTGTTCGAGAACTACGACGACTCGTACGACGGCTACTACTACAACCCCACCACCACCGCGGCTGCCGCAGCCGCCGCTTACACGCCGAGCCGTAGCTCGCGGGAGGTGCGGGAGGAGGAGGGCATTCCGGAGCTGGAGGAGGACGACGAGGAGACCGTGGTCGTGAAGGAGATGGCTAGCGAGTACTCCACGGTTGGAAGCGGCCGCAGCCGTCGCGGCTCGTTCGGTGCTGTCAATACAATCCCGGAGGCGGAGGTCGACAACCGGAGGAATGTACAACGGAGGCGACCAGCATACCGCAATGTGGCCCCGCTGACACGAGAGCCGCCGGCGCAGAGGGTCGTCGGCAATGCGGTGGACGCCGCCACCGCCGTTAAGACGCAGCTTGTTCGGGTGGCGGAGGCAGCAAGGGAGCTCGCGCCGCTGCTCGAGGTCGGGAGGCCGAGCTACCAAGGACGCAACTCGGTCTACCACGGTGAGCTACTAGTTCAGAGAGTCTGACTGATCTGATTCATTTTCATCTCAATATATCTGAATGATCTGACTCACTGTTTCATTGTTTGAAGCTGCTTCATCACGGATGATGTCTGCAATCTCTGTGGCGCATCTGGGGTGCAAAGACGAGGACATGTTGGGCATGGTGGTTGGGGAAGAAGGCAAGGTGGTGGGCTCATGGAGCTTATCCTTGACACTAGAGAAGCTGTATTTCTGGGAGAGGAAGCTGTATGGCGAGGTCAAGGTAAACTCGTATTTCTGTTAAGCACTTTTCTGTGAGTAGAAATGATCTCCGATCTGGAGCTATGATTTTAGTTCATCATTCATGGAAATGAGCAAGGGGATTTGAATAAGAATGCTTGTGAGTATGACAAAGGTAATCTAGGTCAGGCTGCAATTTTGTCGCCGAAAACAGTGTGTCATCTCATCATCTGGGTCCTCTGGCATGTTGTCTGACCTTAATCTGAATTAAGGTTTACTAGCTGTGGTGTTCTGGATCTTTAGGTAGACCTTGTATTTAGTCCAATGGCCTTTTTGTTTGAACCAAAAGCAAATTGAGCTGAATAATGGAGTGGGCACTCTGTCCCTACTAGGGAAACTTATCTTTTCTGTGGGGAAGATTTATGTCAAGCAAAAGTTTTGCAATTTTTCGGCACCCACTAAATAAAGGCAACAACATTACTATTTTTACTTGTTGCTAGTTAGATAACTAGTTGGTTGGTTCTGGTACTCGAGTAGCCTGTTACCATTTTTTTGTGCACTTTAGGAGTCAAGGTGGTCTTGGCGTGATAATAAATCAATGATCAATTAGATAAAGCTCCACTATGGGAAGTATCTTTCTCAAAGCCTATGGCTTGCAAGAAACCATGGTGCAGTTGCTTTAACAATTGAGATAGGTCTACTGGTTTTCACCCTGGTTGCTAAAAAAGGATTAGGTATGCTAAGTTGGCTATTCTTAATTTTTTAACTTCTGTTTTGTAAGCTAGTAATAATTTATTATAGCTTCAAACTTTGTTAACAAGGCCATCGTATCAACATTATGCAATCAACTTTTTTCTGACTGGATCTGCCACTTTATTGGAACTACTTTTGTCCCATTGATTAGGGTAGTGTCCCATATGCTTTATTTTTGAGGATTAGTGTCCCATATGCTTCGAACTAGTACTACTAGTTCCATAGGTCATGTCTATACATATCCCACTTAACAGTATTTCTCCTTTATGTGGCATTTCTCTTGTAGGCTGAAGAGAAAATGCGTTTACGCCTTGCCAGGAACTCTAAGAGACTAAAGCTTCTAGATCAAAGGGGTGCTGAAGCTCATAAGGTTGACGCAACTCGAAATTTGCTCAGGAAGCTGTCAACAAAGATAAGAATAGCTGTTCGTGTCATTGCCAAGGTTTCAAGAAAAATTAACAAAGTAAGGGATGAGGAACTAGTGCCACAAGTTAATACCTTGATCCAAGGGTACGTCTCCTTTTAAACTGGAGGATAGTTGCTCTAATCTTCTCATTGTGTTTTCTGATTTCTTGCTCCAAAATGTTCTTTTCAGTCGGCCAGTCATAAGATATGAACTGTTAATTTCATCTTATGCACTGCCATATGCTATGAATGGAGCACACATTTGAATCTAAAGAAGGAATCTTACATTTACATCTAGAATTGTTCCAAGAATCTGCCCGACTCTTGCATAATCTGTATTGCATTCTGAAAACATGTTATGTGCTGAAGATAAAAGTTCCTGATTGCTCTTCTAACATACGTTCTCTCTGAAGTTCTATCTATTTCTCACTAGGTGCTAGCTGATTCTAACAAACTGATCACCTCTTCCCAGGTTTGCAAAAATGTGGCAAGACAAGCTACACTCCTACCAGATTCAGTTACAAGTGATATCAGAAGCGAAAAACCTGGCTTCGGTAACATCAGGTGGAACCAACGGCCGTGATCTGGCAATGGAGCTGGAGCTAGAACTGATTAAATGGATCATCAACTTTTCCTCCTGGGTGAGCGCGCACAGGAACTTCGTGAAGTCACTGAATGGATGGCTAGCACTCTGCCTCAACTACGAGCCTCAGGAGGCACCCACCTACTCGCCTAGGCGAATAGGCGCTCCAGTGATTTTCGTCATCTGCAACAAATGGTCTCAAGCCATGGATAGGATCTCCGAGAAGGATGTGGTCAACGCAATGCAAGCCCTTGTCTCAAGCGTGCGCCATCTGTGGGAGCAGCAAAACCTTGATCAAAGCGAAAGGAGCGTCGCAGTTCGAGAAAGGGAGAAGTGGATCAAGATGTTGGAGCGGAAGGCGCTTGAGATCAACAAGGAAGCCGACGAGTTAAACAGGAAGCTGGCCTTGGTGCCGGGCCAGCAGCAGAGTTTTCAGCGGTGTCCAACGATACGAACGTACGAGGCGCATCATATTGAAGCGAGCAGCGTGCACGTGAATTTGAGGCTGGTTGTTCAAGCTCTGGAGGACTTTGCCTCCAATTCCCTGGAAGCTTTCCAGGAGATACCGAGACTAGATGAAGAGCCAACAAGGCCGTCAAGAGGGAGTTCGAGGGTACCACGGTGACTAAGAGAAGTTTGAGCACCAAGTCCAGCTTGTAAGATGTTGCCTAGAACTTGCAATCTGTGGATTTGGATGAGCAGTCCGTAGTTTCATGGTGATGCTGGTGGCCTGGTGGCGTTTTGGTGGGGGGATCGCGGTGCCGATATCCTCGTGTAATTAGCTTTTGTTTCACTGAAGCGTTTGTGGGCTACGCTTGTGTAAGATAAGGCTATGGTAGATTGGTGGTAGTATGGTGGTGTCTTCTTTTCTAATGGAAAGGCTGGAACTGGGTGATCGTGCCCTGCTTTGTTGATTACAAAAGATGTCAACGCCTCCTCGCAGCATGGTGCCTTGGTTGGGCACTGTAAACTGGAGGCTCCTGAGTCTTCAGGCTTACTAGTTTATGGATGGGCTTTTGTGCAGAAGATCAGAGAGCTTGAACGGGGCGTTGTGTCGTTGACAATGTGTCTCGCCAGCGCTTTGGGCAAAGCGATAATGACAGGCGGAAAATTTTCAGCACGAGGTTCTGGCTGAAGAACCTTGGTCCGCGTTGCATATATCTGACAAGTGACGAGTCTAGTGCTCCGCAGGGTCGTTGCTTTGTGTTAGTCGTTTTCAATTGCTGCACACGCATATTTGGGAACTTCCCTGTACTGGCACAGCAGTAGCACAGCATGATTTAGTTAGTGTTATCACAGCGAAAGAGCCGCTGTACTCCGTCCTCAGGTTTGAGTTGTTTTAACAAGGGAACGAATCTAAGCTGATAGTAGATCTGTGTTTGCGGATCTAAAGTACTGACCAAACCCTTCATCGATTACGAGTTTCAGTTGGTGATCCAGGCTTGGGCGGACGTGTGGATCGTGGTGGCGGCGATATGCATCGATGTAGAGATACGATGTGTTCTCTTTTTTTTCTTCTGTCATTAGAGCCTGTTTGGTTCCAATAAGTCACCCGACTTATAGGGCCTGTTTGGTTTCAATAAGTCACCTGACTTATAAGTCAGGTGACTTAAAACCAGTGACTTATAAGTCACGCCCGTTTGGTTGTCACCTGACTTATAAGTCACCTGACACACCTACCCACACCAATCAACATCATGCAGATGGTAGGACCCACGTAAAAGGGGGTGACTTATAAGTTTTAAGTTGGGGTGGAGCAACTTATGACTTATAAGTTGGGGTGACTTATAAGTCGGGTCTGTTTAGCAAAATAAGTCACTTTTTTTCACTTTTCGACTTATAAGTTGGTGACTTATTTGGAACCAAACAGGGCCTAAGTCAGGTGACTTAAAACCTATGAATTATAAGTCACGCCTGTTTGGTTGTCACCTGACTTATAAGTCACCTGACACATCTTTTCACACCAATCAACATCATGCAGGTGGTGGGATCAATGCAAAAGGGGGTGACTTATAAGTTTTAAGTTGGGGTGGAGCAACTTATGACTTATAAGTCGGGTCTGTTTGGCAAAATAAGTCACTTTTTTCACTTTTCGACTTATAAGTTGGTGACTTATTTGGAACCAAACAGGCCCTTAACCGGGGAGAAAAATATATAGTTTCATGGGCATGGAAGTTACCTAGACAGTGATAGATCGCCTTCGGCGGCTAGCCAAGTGCAATCCCCAAAAAGTACTTCCGCAATTTTCACTTTGCAGGTCAACTGGTGGCAATGGCGTGGCCGGCGCTCGGCGGCTTCGTGCTGTGACCTGAGTGCTGGCGGGGGACTAATATTGTTTTTGACGCCGATAACTGTCACACGTGTGGTGTATCAGGTGGTTGTGCCGCGCGCCTCGTGTGGCATGGAGAAGAAGCCGCCCGCACGACCGCGCCCGGGTGCGCGCAGCCACAGCCCGCACGTCCGGTGTGTGGCAAAACCGCCCACACGTCCGGGCCAGACGACCGCGCTGCCCGCACGACCCAGCCGTCCCGGCCTCCTTTCGATCCCCAGTCCGAACTGCCGTCATCGTCTCCCACCTCTCCATCCCCTATCTCCATCGCCGTCCTTCTCTGGTTGCCATGGCAACCAGAGCAGATCCATAGGGCCTTCCCACCGCTAACCACCCCCCCACTCCAACCCCGCCCTCCCAAGACGACCAGCTAAAAGCAGGTGAATCTCCGACCTCCTACTGTTTCTCGTCCTTCTTCTGGCCAGAAATTAGAAATTGCAAATTTACCAACGAAGATGGCGACTGGATCCACGCTATCGGGGCAAAACACCACACGGTTTTGTGTGTATTCGCATTTGCCAACCAGCATATGCCAGATCTGCCATGTATTACGCTAGAGTTGAGCTTAGGTTCTCGGTTGGCTTGGTGCAACTAGTTGGTAATGAAGGATGCGTAGGAATCCCTAAAAAAGGGAGAGAAAGGAGAAATTTGGCATAGGGGGTAGGAAAAATAGTTTCCACTTGTGTCTAACATCAGTTGCCACCTATCGTTGCCGTTAACTGCAACCATGTTAACCTGTTGCTTGCCTATTTTAGTGGTTGTTGCCATCGCTTCAAAAAGATAGCTGGCACCCAGATTTTAGAAAAGAGAGTGGATGTACATGTCCTACTTGCCATGATGTGTTGGTTGCCTACGCAGGAAAATGTGATAAGATTGCCGTGTTATCTTCTACGCGCAAATAACAAAAAATGCATTTTTTGCGGATTGTTGATGCGTTCTTGTTCATGCAGTGATTGAGAACACATTGGCAGAAACAAAATGCGGAAATAATGAATCACGAAGATGGCACTGATCCTTGGGTTTCTCAAAGGCCAGAAACGCCCCCTTGGGATGCAGCAGAGTACAGTCAACTCACTTCTGCAGGGCCGTTGCTGCCACTACTAGAGCAGTACGCAGACATTGGTATGATGCATGATAACAAGAAAAGAACATTTGCCATGTTCACGACGATGAAGATGACATTCTACTTATGTCCTACAATGCCATTTTTCACAGGTTCTTATGACCAAAACACATTCAGGGGGCACCATGGCAAGTTCAGTCACAGGGCGCTAACACTGACAAATGTACGGGCAACCAACTTCAACTAGCTAATGTGGCAAATCAAGGTAACGCATACGAAAAATAAACATACTGGTGTGGACATGAAAATTAAACTTGCAAAGGATGGCAAAAGACTCACGAGTTATATCGGAAAAAATGTAGGACCTTCATGCAGCACGTGGCATCAGGCGGCAACCATGTACCCGCCATCGACGTCATACACATGTGAGTCCATAAAAGTGAAGTTGCGGACGGTGAATTAGCAGAAGGAACATAGTTGACATCTGCCATGCCTGGACATCTGCAGTTGCCATGCCTAGACAACTGCAATTGCCATGGCTGGACATCTGCAGTTGCCATGCCTGGACAACTGCAGTTGCCATGTATGATCAAATGTGATTGCAATGTATAAACAACCGTGGATGGCAAGTGTGAACAAATCTGTGTGGCATGGTTGGACCACTACATGTGCCATGTTGAAGAAACTATAGTTGCCATGCAGCGACCAACTACTACCATGATCATAGGTTGTTACGGTGGGACTACATCGGCAAACGTCCCATGGCAAGCTTCACAGTTGCAGGACATCGCTATTGCAGATAGAGCACATCAAATTGGAATGACAGACCACACAAGATGGGCACATGCGGCACAACAAGGTAAGAAATTTTGAACCACAAAACAGTACTGCATTTGTTTTTATGGGAATAACATGTGAGGAAAAGAAGATTTGTAATGGTGGTGGTGGAAAAAACAAACAGAAAACACTACCAAGTGGTCGTGTGCAAAGAGTCATATATTGTCTTCGGGATTTGCCAATTGCTAAAAGAGTGTGTGCAACATTAATGATTGATCGCATTTGCCTAGTGAGCTCAAGCCTAGAATACAAGTTTTGATGCTAGAATATACTGGTTGCCATGTGTTGGCAGCAGTAGTTGCCATGTATGTTGGACTGCAACTGCCATGGATATAGAATCCAAGTTTTGGTACGAAAAGAAGATGGTTGCCATGCATTGGCAACAGTAGTTGCCATGTTTGTTGGACTGTAGCTGCCATGACTGGAGAACTACAGTTGCCATGCATGTCCACATGCAGACTCACGGCTTGCTGTGCAAATCACATGCAGTTGCTGTACTCCGTTACGATAAACATGCCATTCAAGCAAAATCTTATGCTCGTACCTGTTTTTTTATTATAGGACCTTCAACTACAATCAACAGCGGCGCGGGACATCTACTGCGAGGAGCTCTGAGCGCACGGAAGACGCATTCCACCAGCCAGCCAACAATCATGCCACAAACAATGCCGAGTCAGTGTCAGAAATGGCAATCATTCCAGCAATGCCGACAAGCACACCTTTGAACACCAGCACTAGCAACACTCAAGTAGATGAAACTGCCACCGATACTGAAGTGAACGATGAAACTGATGACGAAGCACAAGGGGATGAAGATGGTGGGCAATCAGAAATCATGGTACCTCAGCCACCGTACGTTGGGCAGAGATTTGATTCGTTCACAGAAGCAAAGGAATTCTACCAGACATATGCAAAGTTTCATGGGTTTGCGAACACAGAATACCATAGGAAAATTAAAAAAACTAATGAGTACAGCAGAGGTGAGATGAGGTGCTACAAGGCACGAAGGAACAAAAAGGGTAAAGGTGTTGCGCCTGTCGTTCCGGAACGAACGATAGGTATCATTCTCAAGACGAAATGCCCTGTCCGATGTAAACTTAACGTAGATGGAGCACGGTGGGTGGTCACTGAATATTTTGATGATCACAACGATGAACTCATAAAGAAGTTCGACCTGGTAAAATTTCTGACCGCCCACAGAGGATTCAGCCCCCTCGAGAAGAAATTCATAAAGCTGCTACATCATTGTAACGTCGGTCCATCAAGAATGGTCCAGATACTATCACTCACCCACAACAAAAATGGGACTCTGAGTAGCATGCCCTACATACCAGCTGACGTCAAAAACCTAAAGGCAAAGTATCGTAGATAGAGCAAGTTGGCTGACATAGAGGCC